TGCCCATCAAAATCCATCCAGCTACACTACATTTTCCAGCCTTCCTAGAAGCTTATCACCAAATAGGATGTACAGGAAGGTCATTTATGACATTTCTGGTTATGGGTTTAAAACACAGCATGTCTGATCCTCTACATCCTCTTCCACCATCCCGAGAGTTGGGACACATATGCCTTTGCCTCAGCTTCAATGATGCAGATGAAAACAAGGAACTAGGGGATGAAGGTACAGTAAGATTTAATCTGGGTCATGCCAAACTGAACCTCATCATCTGACAAGAAATGCATTTAAAAAATTTTAAGTCACTATATTATTTGGCACATTTGTTTTAGCAGCTTAACCTTTAACCTAAAATTTTAAAGCTTTTGTTTAACATTATCTCAATTATTAGGCAAGTTTTTAATGATGGTAATTATCCAAATAGTTTTTTGTGTAATATAACCGAAAGAGGGACTTCCCTGGTGGCACAGTAGTTAAGAATCTGCCTGCCAATGCAGGGGACACGGGTTCGATCCCTGGTCCAGGAAGATCCCACATGTGGCAGAGCAACTAAGCCCATGTGCTGCAACTACTAAGCCTGTATGCTGCAACTACTGAAGCCCGCATGCCTAAAGCTCGTGCTCTGCAACAAGAGAAGCCTGCGCACCACAATGAGGAGTAGCCCCCGCTCGCCGCAACTAGAGAAAGCTCATGTGCAGCAACGAAGACCCAACACTGCCAAAAATAAATAAAATTTTTTAAAAAAGTACTCTCATTAAATAAAAAAATTATATATATATAACAGAAAGAAAGAAAACTAAAGTGCTTCTAACTAATAGTCTTCTTTTCCTAGGATTCTGCTTGAAAACTATACAGAAACTTTCCCTTGGGGCATTACACAAAAACACCTCAAAAGATGGAGAGCCGCAGGGCATCTATAGGTGGCTGCCCTATAATAGACTTAATGAGACTTTTTGCAAACCCATTAGATGAAGCCAGAGATCCAAGATAAGATACATATGTGGAACAGCTTCCAGAATCCCATGGCACAAACCATATCCTATCCTTTAACTGCCCACATGCAAGCACATGTTGCTATTGTTAAGGGGATTTAAGCCCAAGTGGTGTCCATTCATTTCTTTCCTGGATCATTTGTCATCTCCTGGTTTCCAATCTTGCCCACTATGTTCTCTGCTTCTTCAGAGATGCCAAAGTGATCCCTTTAACAATATGGAGCTTCCTGTCATACTCAGAATAAAATATAGTCTTTACCGTGGCCTGCGAGGTCCTACATGCCCTGACTCCTAGATACTCCCCCATCCTCACTTTCAACCACTCTCCTGTCATCACCAGCCTTCTGGCTCTCCAAGTCTATTCTTACTTCAAGTCTTTGCCTGATATAATTTCCTCCAAATGTTCACATGGTTTCTCCCAGCCTTTAGTTGAGTCTATGTCACTGGGGCATCTCCTCAATGATACGCAGTTTTCTCTGACCAATCTATATAAAAGGGCAGCCCAAGTTACTCTCTAGCCTTATACTTTTCTTCCCTTATATCGTGCTATCTTTTCACTTATATTGTATTATCTTTTTATTCATAACGTATCTCCCCAATTAGAATGCAATTTTCCTGTAGATAAAGACTTATCTTTCACTACTGTAATACACGGTGTCCACAGAAGTGCCAAAAATATATTAGGTTTTCTAAAAGTATGTTTTGAATAAATAAATAAATTTGGCTCCATCACCATTCCAATCCAAGAAAATAAATTCAAAGCAGACTGCCTACTGATTTTATTGAGTTTACTTTCAAAAAGGTCAGAGTTTAACCACCCTGAAGATAAGACAACTCATCTAATAAGAACCTACTAATGAATGATAAATAAATTCATTAAGCAAATGTAAGAATAAAAACGACTACAGACCAGACTTCCAGGTTTCCAAAATGGCCAAGTAAGGTAAATGTTTTAAGCAGAGCTTTGGATGCAGAAAGATATAAACCTTCACAGCTAGGCAATGTATTAAAATAAAGAAGATTTTCATCCTATTAAAAAATTAAAATTTCCCAATGTAAAAAAGAATTACGGTGTGGAAGAGACAAGTGATATTATTGGAAATAATCATTTCTCTTAGACAAGAATTAAAGTTTTTTTTTTTACTTTTTGAATGAAAGTAGAACTATTGAATGTTGTATTCATGAACTTAATAACTTCTCTACTTAATAAAATAAAAGCCACAGAGAACCAGGAACAGGTAATCAAAGTGGAGCACAATGCCTCCGTCTTTCCTAACAGTCCTTCCTTTAGTACTTTAGAGAAGAAAAGCCTGGGGAATCAGAAGCTGTCAGCAGGTGAGAGAAACAGGCCTTTTAAGTACTCTGATGTCAGGCTAAACTGAAACCAATGAACCAGTACAAATCTCAAAAGGGTCTAAGAGTCTAGACTCAATATTAGAAAATCAAGATGAGTTAGCAGAACGGCTTCTAAGCAAAATGTGTGTGTATACTTATCATATACACTCATTGATTAACAAGAAAACAACAGAAACTGCGAATAGAAATAACCATTATTTAACTCTTCCAATTTTATGTTTCTAAAGTTTTTCTTTGATGCTTGGTCATGTGTCAAATTCAACATACTGATACAAATAATATATTTATAATGTATAAATAAGTTTCCTTAACAGTATAGCAATTAAGATTAACCAGTATCTTAATATTAACCTAAGTCTTAATAAAATGAGACTATGGCAATATGCCCAAATCACAGAATTAAGTTTTTAAACATAGACTAAACTTTATCTAAAAGCTGAAAATGCAAACCTAAAATAAAACAGAATATGACAGGTTATCAGGAAATTTCTGTTATCTCAGAATAAAACACAACCTCAGATGAAAAACAAGGTCATTTGGTAACAGAGTGCCTTAACTCCTCAGCCCCAGCATGAGCTCTGTCTCTGTACACTTCATTCTGAAAATACACAGTTCCCACTTACAGACCAATGAAATATATCCAACAGTATATTTGCAGCATTATTTCCTTCTGTTCTGTATTCAGTTGCCCAGTATTTGAACTCCCTTATTAGATTGGAATTCCCCTCGTATGAATTCTAGAGAGAGGCAGGGCCCCATTCCTACTAAGAAATAAAAAGACAACAAGACAGTTCCTCCCAACTGCCTAGGACTTTGGGCATGTAACCTAAATTTGGCCAACTAGATGTAGCTACTCTGTCAATCTAGAAGTCAGGTCAGCAAGTCTACTTACTAGACAATTTGTGGATTCTTAATTTTTCACTGCTGCCCCTTCTGCCTTGGGGTGTGCCATTTTTCTGAGCCTAGTTCTTAAGTCCTCACTTTTCATAAATTCCTCTTATGTTCAAATCAGCTGAAGGTAGAATTTGTTGCTGCAGCCAGGCTGATACCCAGCCTGTGCAAAACCACCTTTTCTCTCTTTATTGTTTGTAGCAACTCAGGATTGGGGCAGTAATTGTTTTGTTTCAGTTGCCTTTCTTGAAATCTCTTAGAAAACTAAACACAAATATTGCTGATGCAAAAGGATATTATTTCAGAGAGCCAGGGGGAGTTGACTGAATACTCTAAAAATTGCATGAAAGTTCTAAATGAGGCTTAAAAAAAAAAAAAAAAAAGGCAAAGTAAGAGAATGTGATTCAAAAAGCTTCCATTAAAAAAGCAAAGGCTGGGCTTCCCTGGTGGCGCCGTGGTTGAGAGTCCGCCTGCCGATGCGGGGGACGCGGGTTCGTGCCCCGGTCTGCGAGGATCCCACATGCCGCGGAGCAGCTGGGCCCATGAGCCGTGGACGCTGGGCCTGTACGTCCGGAGCCTGTGCTCCGCAATGGGAAAGGCCACAACAGTGAGAGGCCCGCGTACCGCAAAAAAAAAAGCAAAGGCCTCCAAAACCTAGCATGACAGACTCTGCTCAACCGGAAGTTCTCAACTAGTGGTGATTGTGCCACTCCAGGGACATTTCAGCAATGTTTGTAGACATTTTTGGTTATCACAACTGGGGAAGGGGTGCATCTAACAGGGAGACCAGGAATGCTGCTAAAAATCCTACAGTGTACATAACAGCTCCCCACAATAAAGAATTATCTGGCCTAAAATGTCAATAGTGTCAAGGCTGAGAAACCCTGCCCTCCACTCTACCTCCCTTCAAATCATAAATAAATAAATGCCCTCCCCCAGAAGCTAGAATAACTCTCCCACAATTCATAATACCCAAATACTTTTATAGTTACTTATGCAATCCCATTTCTACCCCAATATTAAAAGAAAAAAAAATCTCATAACTTATCTGTCAATATCATGATCCATCTGAGAACTACCCAAATGGGAAAAAACTAAAGAAAGAGCAAATAAGGGAAAGTAATGAGTATGTGCAAAGAGCTTTAAAGGGCCAGGAAGCCTGAGGGAGTGGCAGGAAATATGGGTTGAAAAACGGTTGCATTCATGGCCAAGAATGTTGGGAAATGAAGCTTGGAGGGATGATGTGATCAGACTCCAAAGTGTCTTGTACATCACAGAAGTCCCGATTTTGCTCTCTGAATAATGATAATTTTTAAAGAAAAGATTTTTAAGTGGGGTAGAGAAATATGTTGTTTCTTAGGAAGAAAATCCTAGTGTCACTTTAGGTGACAGTCTGACAGGAGCAGAGCCTGGTAGTAGGGAAGTTAGTAGGTTAGGAGACTACTTCAATAGTACAAGAGCTGAAGAGAACAGCTGAGCAAAGGTGATGGCAATGTGGATGGAAAACGAAGGCCAGAGAGATTAGAAGCATGTTCTTAGAGATTTGTTAACCTCTTCCTTTAAAATAAGTATCTTCCCATACTGTAAAGTATAATTAAGGAATAAAAATACTTTAAATGCATTAACACACCTCTATTTCCAGTGTGCACCAAAAGTACAGTAACATGTCAATGAATTAAAGTTATGCAATGAGAATGTATGCTATTTAAATAATTTCTGTATGATTTCCAAATAACATGTACAGAAAGTTTATAATATTACCTGCTCCAGGACTTCTTTATAGGTAATAGTGGCTTTAGTATTTGTAACAGGACTGTCATAAATGATAGCAATCTTATCTCCTTTACCATTTTCAATATGACGATCGATGGCATTGTAACAAATGTTAAGCATCCCTTCCACAAACCTGAAAAATAATTGGAAAGTAAAAGTGAATGACTTCAAAATATATAGTTACTTAACTAGGTTTCTATAGTCCTAGTTTGGCAGAGCTGCCCTTAAAAGTGTTTCCCCATGCATGTTATGTCAGGTAATGATGGCTGTAAACTATTTAAGATGGTACAGAAGTGACACTTTTAATAAATATGTATTTATTTTCATGTGCACAAGAAGAAAATATACCTCGCACTTCAAGGCGACAATTTTGTGGATTTTATTGCTTAGGATGAAACTAGAGTACACAGCTCCAAAATAATCTACTTTACATGGATGAAATGAATTGTATATAAGTGCAGCACAGATGCATTAAGCTGAGAGGGCAAATAGATGCATGACTGAAGTTTGGGTACCTGCTGTAAAAAGACAGACTTACTGGAAAAATCAATTCTTCTTTGAAAGATATATATATATATATATGTGTGTGTGTGTGTGTGTGTGTGTGTGTGTGTGTGCATATATATACACACACACATATTTGTTTGTTTCAATTAAATGCAATACCCCCAATTTCACAAATAGGTTAGTTCTTTTCTGCATGTGTGAAATGCTTCATAATCTGAATAAACATTCAAAATGCACATAAAACGTTAATAGCTTTTTAAAAACTTTTCAATTCACCACTCTTTATCTCAATTGCTGAGCGCGTTCCTTTGAAAATAAAGACATAATGTAGATAGATGGAGAAAATTTTTAAGAAAATATAGCTCATTTTCCTGAGCATGGAATTTGCCACTTTTTTAGAAGGAGAGTATTAGATACAAAATACAAGTATAGTAATGGTCCATTTGTTCCAATGTCAGACTAGCAAATATTATAAAAATGCAAAATAGCAGGAGGAAAATATTGAAGCAACAAGAAAAAGTCCCATTAAATAGCTGAGTATCACTGTCAGGTCTTCACTCAAAGAGCCCTGTGTGAAATGAAGCAGGGAATTAAGAATGCCTATAGATACAGTGGCAGCAATAAGAAATAACAGATACAGAAGGCAGTAGGAGGAGGAATCATTTAATCAGCATCAAATGACCCTGTATACATCAGTAATGGTGAATATGATGACCTTACAGTACAGCACAATGAGTAATTAATACAATGATTCTGAATTGCCAAGTGTAATAGATTTGATGTTTGCTCAAAAACATTGTCTCTTCTCCTCACCCTTACTTCTATTAAAAATATTTTGTCTCTTCCTCTTGCCTCCATCTTCATCAGTGGAGAGAACTTCCCTTGACTTTGGGGTCATCCATGTGATGTCAGCTCTGGCTAATAAGCAGTCATGAAGCATGCACTTGCTTGAAAGCGCCTGACACGACGGCTTGCTCTCCTGCACCTACACCCTCTCCAGGAGAAGAGCCTCCAGGTATTACTGCTGCCTCCTCCTCAGCCTGGTGCCAAGAATGAGTATTTGCAGATGGGAGCAGAGCCCAAAAGAAGCAAGGAGCCCAACCCAGCCAGACACATGTCTTAGAACAGCGGCCCCCAACCTTTTCAGCACCAGGGACCGGTTTCATGGAAGACAATTTTTCCATGGACCCGGGGGAGTGGGGTTGCAGGGGGGGATGGTTCAGGCAGTAATGTGAGTGATGGGGAGCGACGGGGAGCGGCAGATGAAGCTTCGCTCACTTGCCCGCCGCTCATCTCCTGCTGTGTGGCCCGGTTCCTAACAGGCCGCAGACCGGTACTGGTCCGCAGCCCAGGGGTTGAGCACCCCTGTCTTAGAATAACATTTCCAGTTGTGTTGATCCCACGACAACCTACAAATTAACTGATGAATAAATACCTTATGGCTCAGAGATTTTGATGGTGATATGCAGCATAACTGTGGCTATAATTAACTAATGCACCAAGAAAAAGTAAAAAATATTTACTCAATATTTTGGCAGAAATAAGGAAAGATACTTTATAGAATTTTCCCACAAAATACTTATTCATATTTTTGTGTTTCTGCTTTTATTTCTGAAAAGAATACATTTCAGACACATGAAAGACTGACTCACTGGAACACTTCTTGATGATGTCATTATCCTCTATCTACCACTTCTACTCTACCACTCTTTGTGCTCAATATTGAATTATGCCCATAACATTTCACAAAACAAGGAGCCCTCTCGATTCCAAAGATTCATGGAGGACTCACTTTGTCATTTGCCTTATTGTTCTACTTCTTACTTGTTCCTTCTAGATATCTGTTGAAGAAGTTCACAGAGAGTATGTGACCCCAGGTTGACCTGTCAGCTGGACCCAGGCAATCAGAGGATCCCCCCATCCTTGGAACATGTGTGCCACCTACTATTCCCATACTAGTAGCTGTTTCAAGGACATAGTCTTGAGAAAGCAATGTGTTGTTGGGTCCATCTGGACTGAATATGTGTCTGAACCCAGATAAGGACATTATTTTCAAGATTCTTGTGGGTGGGTGCGGAGATCTACTGATCTCCTGGCCACCCACGACACGCCTCAGACGCAAGTTTCCTTGCTTATTAAATCTGCCACCCACCTACCATTCTGGAGGGGCCTGCCCCTTTCTTTGGGCTCTCCTTGCCCTCCATGAATGGGGGCCAGTTTGCGAACCAACAATAATTTTCATGAAATCTCCTTCCTTTGCCAAATCTTTAATTGACAGTAATTTCTAACATTCTGTATCCATCCCTTTGCTCACTCTACGTACATTCCTTGGGTGATCTCTATACTTTTATGGTTTCAACTTCCATCTTTAGCTCCAGCTCTGATCCCCTTTCTGAACTCCATTCCCTTATAGCCGACAGCCTGCTGGACATCTCTCCTTGGAAATAATAATACGTCCAAAACGATAATCATTTTCACCCCACCTCCAACTCACAGCCCATCTCAACTGCAAACTTGTTCCTCCTGTTTTCCATATTTCAAGGAACCACCTTGCACCCACTGCAAGGTATAGAAACTCAAAAGTTAAATTTGATCCCTCATTCTCCACATTCTATCGATTGTATGTACTGTCACATCTGTCTTTGCAATTGTTCAGTTCTCTCATTGATAACCTGGGTTACAATTCCTTTCTCTTAATTAATCTCCTTGCCCTAGGTCTTACCCCATCCTCTCAAGTCATCTTCCTTTGCTACTAGAATGTCTTTCCTCAAATTAAATATTATCACATCAAATGGCACTCAAACTCATTTGATACCTTTCCATAAAGCTCAGGATTAAAAGTATATATCTTTAGATGATATAAAAGACCCTTCATCTACTCAGCTTCATTTCCCCTCATGCAACTTCCCATGCTCCAGCTATATTGAATTACAAAATGTGCAATTCCTAGAGTTCACATTATTCAAAGAATTTCTGTGGCTGTTCTTTCTGTGGCTGTCCTTCTCCTTTACCACCGCCCTCTCCCAGGTAGTTCCAAAGACCTGTGCACATATCTCTACAATACTACTTATCATATTACATTAACAATTAGTCCACTTACTTAAATGTTTCCCTCATTTTACTATAACCTGACAGCAGAGACTATATTTTCCTTATAGTCTGAGGATCTATATATTAGGCACCCAATAAATATTTGATAAATGAAGAATGAAAATATTAGTAAACCTTCAAGACACTTTGGATTTAGGATCCATGTACAGTCGCCAGGGTAGTTTTTACTATTTTATTTTAAAGTTGAGTGAATGGAGTCTGAAAAAGAATAATGCACAGGACATTTGGCTAAGAATTGGAAAAAGCCATACCTGCAACTCAAGTCTCTGGACATCCTGACTGGTGTCCTAGTCCACAATATCCTATTAATTCATTCATTTATAAATATATATTTTTTCTATCCTTGAGTTCACTGATCCTTTCCTTTGTGATTTTCATTCTGCTGTCGAAACAATTCAGTGAGTTTTTATTTTCATTATCATATTTTTCAGTTCTAAAATTTCCATTTGTTTTTTTCTTTACATCTTTTATTTCTTCGCTGAGTCTTTCTATTTAATTGAGGCTTTTTAAAAAATGTTTCCAATGTGTTCGTAGTTGGTCGTTTAAGCATTTTTTTATGATGGCTGCTTTAAAAATCCTTGTCCAATAATTCCAGTCTCTGTCACCTCAGTGTTAGCATCTACTGATTGCTTTTCTCATTCAAGTTGATATTTTCCTGGTTCTTGGTATGACAAGTGATTTTTGTTTGTATCCTGGACATTATAGGTATTTTATTAGGAGATTCTGGAGCTTATTTAAAGATCATATTTAAATCTTCTGTTTTATCAGGCCTCCTCTGATACTGTGTCAGTGGGGGAGGGAGACAACTCATTACCACCAGGTTCAGGTGTAAGTTCCAACTCCCCATTAGGCCTCCACTGACACTCATGAGAGTAAGAGGTACCTCATTACTGCTGAGCTAGGGTAAAAGTTCAGGATCCCACTAGGCTTCCATTACATCATCCTGGCTGATAGTGGGGAATGGCACCTCATTTCGCCTCCCCACATGGACTCCACTGACAATGCCAGGGGCAAGATCCTTCTTACCTCTTTATCTTAGCCATAATGAAAGTTCCAATTCCTGATATAACTTTCTCTAACACCACCAGGGGAGGTGGCGATGTTTAGGACACCTTGTCACAGCCTGGTAAGAGTAGAAGTCTAGGTTCTCTATCACCTTTTCACTGGTGAAGATGGGATGGGAGCCACAGAGCTTTCCATAGTGTTTGACTGTATTAGGGAAGTTACTGGCCAAAAATGTCGTCTTGGCAGGCTGTCCCTCCCCACCCCTTTTATCTTTGAGGGGGAAGGTCCAAAGACGTTTTTGTTGGAACTTTTTTTCTGCACCCATTGGTGTTTCTAGGTTGCCACCTTCTCCAGCACTCAGTATAGGATATATAAGACAAGAAAGAAAACCCAAGGAACTCAGTGCCATGTCATTTCTCATGTCCCAAAGTTCCTAGCTGATTTGGTTTCTTCTCTCCTCCTTTCAGAGTCTTCTTATGTGTATTTTATATATAATGTCCTATGTTTTTA